GCTGCGAGGACATTATGCACTAGGACAGAATGCAGCGAGGTCTTTATGAACTGAACCTGCAAAACACAACACCGTGGAAGGACAGCGGAGTCGCCGGAGCTGTCCTTAAGGTAGTAGTGCCCGCCTACCGTACCGGAAAACGTGGGCACTCTCCTCCCAGGATAAAACCGCTATCGTGTGTGGAGATTGTACGGACCAACCACACACCAACGAACAAGAACAACGTAGGAACGTTGACGACCAAAAACTATAAAGGGGATGGCCGGAAAAATTGGCCGGAAAATCAAGAGCTCTCTCTAAAGAAAATAATAAAGTGTTTTCTCTTTTCTTTCTCTCTTCCTCACGCAAGGCACACACAAAAAATGATTGAGGGAGCTTTTGATTTTATAACAAAGGAGTTTAAAAATTGTAACTCCTTCACCATTAACCCATGGAATTAATCATGGCATTTGTGGTGTGTTAATGGTGATTAATTAGTCATTAACACGTCCGTTACGCTACGCTCCGTTTAAAATTTGTCCCGAATAATTGGAGATTAATGGCCAGTTAACTCCGTAAAAATGGACTAATTTTAAACAATACGTAAAATTAATAAAAGAAGATTGGTTCAGTAAAATTGCAAAAATTGCAATCCTCACCATATTCTTTTATTAACGGGTTAACTCTGAGAATCAATTTCTCATTCACCCTCTACCATTTTTGGCGTATAAATTGTCAAACATTTATCTCATTTAAGAGAACACACGTCCATTAATAAACGGTTAAAACCGTTAGTGGACCTATTGACAAATATACCCAAATTGGTCCATTTAATGCCAATTAAAATGCCAAAAATTCCAACACTCTGCACCTACCTGTTAATCTGCAGAAATTAAGTTTCAACTTGCCTAGTTGCCTTGTGTGTGTTCATTTTGAAGATTTGCAGAATCCCAGGTAGATCATATCTTATACGTTTGTCCGCCGGGATTACCTAGAATGCTTTCTAATTGATGACATTTACTTTAAACTTTCTCTAAAACAGGGTTGATCCTGGGCTCAAAAACATCACTTGGGTCCTCAGGAGTCTTACACTTGCGCTCAACACCCGGAACTCTTGGAAGGCTTCCCGTTCAATAACTTGGGCACAAGAGCGTATTCATTTCCCACCTTCAAACAACAGGTTTCAGCTGTACCTTACTATGGATTATTGTAGTTATTTATAGGGATATAGCTATATTAATTTTTAGTTCATTAAAATCTTCACTCTCCCTGTTGATCTTTATAACAACAATGGAAGGCTTCAGAAAATCTATACATCGTTTATATGATGAAGGGAAGCTGTCATGCTACAATACGGAAAGGTCTTCACCACCGAATCATTTGACATATGCGGAAGGCATGCTGCTTTTTACGAATAGACATGTGGCAAATCTAAGGAAACTTAAAACATTTCTTGACACATTTCAAAAGGCTAGTGCACTCAGGCTCAAGCTGGAAAAATGTAAACTGTTCACATCGAAACCCTCTTCAAACACAACTAGAAGGAAGAAGGAAGCTTTGGAGGTGCGGATTGGCAAGCTACCGTGTCAATACCTTGGCGCACAAATATACAAGGGATTAACAGAAGAATTCACTATTGAAATGAATATGTGTTTAGCAACATTGAGCATGATGAAGATATAAAAATAAATTGGATTTTGAGAAAAAAAAAGGATGTTTCAAAAGCTTTTCGGAGTCAAAGTATTGTTGCAAAGCCATGAGAAGAAAGTAACTTGTAACAAGTACAATTGCGTAGACCGGAGAATAGCATATTCTTCTTAAATGTGGATGGCAGTGTAAGTACTGAAGGAGCAGGTTGCGGAGGGGTTTTGAGAAGCCATGATGGGTATTGGTTTGGGGGATTTATGTCCTCGTGCAATAGCAGACACCCGAGTATAGCAGAAGTTTAGGCTGTTCTTAAAGACTTAATTTGGGATTTAAAAAAAGTATACGAAGACTTGTTGTTAAAAATGATTCATGAGAGATTGTTAGATGGACTCAAGGACAAACTACAACAAGAGGTCCTACACGTTTTGTTGTGGAGACTTGTCAGAGCTGGATAAAGAAGGATTGGGAAGTCAATTTGCTATGTTCTACGAGAACAGAATAGAGTAGCGGATATCCTCGCTAGGATGTGCCACAACCAAGTGATTGCGTGGAAAGACTTTGAAACCCTACCCGTTGGTATGCTTCAGGCTTTGGATGAAGATGAAATGGGCTGTGGAAAGGGTTGGAAGTGTGTTAGCGAGGTACCTATATTTAGGTCCTGGGCTCTTTGCCCTCTCTTTTGATTAAAAAAAAAAAAGTAGTGCAGAACTTATAGTTTTGTTGGTAAGGAAGCAAGTTTTTAGCTGCCTGAGGTTGTAATTGTACATTCCTGCAGCAAAGGCCAGAGTGTCTGCCATGTACAATTTTCTGTGGCAAAGGCCTGAGTGTGTAATTGTACACTGGGCTATATAAAAATAACAAGATCAATTGTGCCTAACATTGCCCCAAAAAAAACATTGCCCTTATTCACTTTGCAAATTACATGCCTGTAGTCTTCTGCCCATGCTTTAGAATAATTTGGTTTCTTTCTGCTTCTGGTCCTTAAAGCATAACAGCCTTACTAAAATGGGTCTATTTAAATAAGATAAATAAGGCGAATCCTCATTTGTAATGGTTAAATACTATGAACATTCACTCCATCTGTGGAAATATTTGAAATGGGGAGTTGAATGCCAAAGGAGCAAGACATTATAAGAAAGTGAAAAACTGAAGACCAATTCGTTTGTCATAATAGTACATAAATGTCCAACATATGAAGGCAAGAACCATTTTACACACATGAAATCATAAATGTGATGTTCGCTCAGGTCCGATGGATGAGGTCAAGTTATGCAGGTGCAGGAAGTTTATAAATTTTCAATGGATTAAAAAAATTGACAAATCAGCATGCATAGCTCTCCATCCATTATATTCTTTGATAAATGGAGATTTGAATCTAGAAGATTTGCTTGGACAAATGAAAAATTGAAACTAAGAAATGCAGTCAAATAACCTCGATGGAGAATAAGATTGAACGCCGAA